CATATATATATATAAAAAAATTCTGTTACAATGCTCTCCTCATCATTTCCACATCTCTTCACTCCCCTCACACGCTCCATGCATGACGATTCAGTCCCGTCCCGCTACACAATCTTTGCTCTGCTCCAGGCGCTTGCTGTGTTCCCCCCTCTGCCCTGCACACGGAAAGGATCGAATGTGCATGAGAAACGCCAGCATCACAACTAGCTCCTGTACTCGGGAAGCTGGAATGGTTTCGGGCCAGCTGGATGACGTTAAGTCAGTCAACAGGCAGCAGAGAATGAAGCTGGGCTCAGACATGCTTCTACCAACTCTGGAGGCTACAAGAGTTTTACCTCTGGCAATAGCAAACTGTTTTTGGCAGGGGTGGCATTAAAAAAAGCTTGCAGCTTAGTCACCTTGGCTGAATCAGTGCAGAGTTTGTGATTGTGAGTGCAGGAGTGGTGAAGGGGTTGCGTTTAAGCCCAACTGGCCTTCACACGTAACAAAGCTTCCTACCAGATGCTAACAACAACAGCAGCAGCATGTATCTCTCTCTGGAGTACCCAGTAATATGCCAGGACATACCAAGGCTTCACAAAGTGTGCAAAATGCATTTGGTCAATATAAACATTTGATTAAAAAAAAATAATAAATGATCAAACAAGAAACAGAATAAAATACTGGTTTTGCAACCTCGTCTGTACAAACAGTCAGGAACTTACATATTTAAAAAGAGTTTGAACCCAAAGCTCGAGTAAGATCTACCTTTTCTTTTTTTTAAATCAAAAAAGAAAAAAAAAAGTAAACTTGGGTTTTGAAACAGTCTTGGCCCAACACCTTTTGTTCAAGGTTTCCAAGTGCATAAATCTCCTCACTTTCCACAGCAAGCTAACCCCTGGTAGCTCTTCGCACATGTGCGTGTTCTGACAGTCCCAATGCACCCAGGAAAGCGGTTATTGCCGGTGACAGCTGCGTTCAAAACGCTGTAACATCGCCCATATTAAATAACCCCCTGTAAAAAGACTACCTCTTCAAACCACTTTGATCAGGATACTAATGAACGGCATTAGCCTTCTTAAAGCAGCGATCAGGCACCTCTGCCCAGAGAAGCTAGTCGTTTCAGAGCTGCCTGGCAAGACAGATACTTTTGTAAGAGTTGAAATGCTCAAGAGAAGCGATTCGATGCTCGAGTTCCCAACCAGCAGCATCCCCTTCATGTGGACTCCAGAGTGTTCAGCTGAAACAGGTTGTGGTTGGTAGGGGTGGTGAAGTAGAGCTGTTCGCTGGGCGAGCGGTTGTCACAAGGGCTGTTGAGTCCCAGAGTCCTCTCAAAGTCCAGGAGCTGGCCCATGAAGTTAAAGTTTGGGGAAATGTTGGATTTTTTCCTTTTCACAAAATCATAGGCATCGTTCAGGGACAAGTTGAGTTTTTGCATCAAATAGGCGACAGTGACTGTTACGGACCTGCTGATGCCAGCGAGGCAGTGAACAAGGATCCCACACTTCTTGGAACGGGCCTCATCTGAAACAAGACAAGGGGAAGGGGAGTCTATTATTCTGAACCAAGAATGCATGGCTTTGGAGCAGGGCCAGGTGGCAGCTGCAAGCTCCCAGGACCAGGATGACTGCCAGAACTGGATCCCCTGCTCCGAGTGACACCACCTCGTGTCCCTTCGACACCCACATCTCTCCCCAGAGGGCTCCTGAGACGTTCCTACTGCACGGTGAAGATGCACATCCCTGTTCCGCACAGCAAGGCCAACCATCTCACGTGCTTGAGTTGTTATTAATCGAGCCTAGCAACACATCCCTTGCCTCAGGAGCATCAGTACCCTCTATTCAAACAGAGAAATGGAGAAACCTACAGAAGGCAGGTGGAGCTGGAGACAACAGCTCCAGGGAGATGCTGGTGGTCAGGCACAGCACACCCACCTCAACACCAACTAACCAGGGAAGGCTGGGCACTCAATGTGGGGCTGCAGCCCAGCACCACACAACCTATTCTCTTCTGCTGTTCTTGTCCTCCTTCCACTAGAAAGTTACATGAATGTAGTTGAAGGCAATTTAAGCAGAGTCTGAAGTGCAGGAACTTCCCTTATTGTGAAATTGTTCTTTAGGATCGACAGAAATGCACTTCACTACAAACAAACGCTTGTGCTGAAGGAGCCTCTCAAGATGAATGGTAGCAGGGAGCCGGAATGCAGGCTCGA